GCTGGGCTGCTAATTGGGGCCAAAACCCCAAGGAGGAGTTCCCTGGGACACCAGAACTGGCTGGAGGGATGGGATTTGGCAACTGTTTTCTGGCCAGTTAGGATAACTGTTTCCTTTCAGGGTCTGAGGCAGTTGTTCAGGGTGACTTCATGTGGCTTCTGAGCAGGTGTGGTTTAGGTTGGCCCTGTTCCTGGGACCCCTGCTCTGTGTCCATGAGGTAGGCCAATGACTCGACATCTTGTCCCTTGGCCAAAGTGACAAGAGACACCTTGGCCGAAGAGAGGAGCGGGAGAGCTGTTGTCCTCATGAGTTGTCATGCCGTGTCCAGGGATCTGCAAAGTTCCATGGGAGTGGGTAGCCGGTTCTGGGGTGGCATGACCGTCCTCCTGCTGGATCCAGGGTAATGACTAAGAGTTCTCTGACCTTGGGCTGCAGCCAGGTGGCACAGATGCAGCTGTGAGTCAGGAGGCTATATATATATATATATATTTGAGACAGAGTCTCGCTGCCACCTCGGCTCACTACAACCTCTGCCTCCTGGGTTCAAGCAGTTCTCCTGCCTCAGCCTCCCAAGTAGCTGGGATTACAGGTGCATGCCACCATGCCTAATTTTTGTATTTTTAGCAGAGATGAGGTTTCACCATGTTGGCCAGGCTGCTCTCGAACTCCTGATCTCAGGTGATCTGCCCACTTCAGCCTCCCCAAGTGCTGGGATTACAGGCGTGAGCCACCATGCCAGTCAGGAGCCTAGATTCCTAGGCAGTATCTTGCCATTCAGTGCTCCCTGAACATCCACTATATCAGCAAATAGCCACGGAGCAGCTACAACAGGCACCTGTGATGCCCTTGGAATAAGAAAGACACCTCCCTTGCTTCAGAGGTTTGGGAAGATCAAATGAAACAGAGGATAGGAAAGGGAAATGTAAACTAGAAGGTGCCTTGCAAGAATCGGTATCCTGGGAGGTAAAAGGGGAGGGCTGGAGGGCACTGCTCCTCTCCTTGCTCCACTCTGGGCTGGTGCAGAGGCCTCAGAATTTCCAGGTGCAGACAGACTGGGGCTCCTTCCCAAGCAATTTCTCAGCAGCAATGCTCAGTTCAGGCAGCAGAGGGCAGCAATGGACCTGCCACCCTGGAAAGCAGCCTTTGAAAGCTGCTGCTGGTGGTTGTAGAGAACCGGGAAGGGGGCGAGGGAGGCAAGCATAGGGGGCAGAGGGTGGCGGAGCACATGGTGCCCAGGGTCAGCCTTCCTTTCGGGATGTGTGCAGGTGGCTCTTCCTGCCCCAGTTCCTTGGAAGCCTGGCTGACAAGTGTTCAGCCTACTGGGCCACGCAGCCTGATTGCTACTCATCGATTTGATAGGGGTCTGGCAACCAGGGGTTTCTCCTTCCTCCTCTGTCCTCAGGCGTCTAGGTGGTATATGATTCTTATGGCCCTTGCAGGGGGTGGGGGTGCTTCTCCCACTGGGAACTCATGGCCGTTCATTTTTTTGTGTGACGAAAATTTTGTTGGTGCTCATCTGAGAGGATTTAGGCCATCTGTTGCCCCCGGACAGCCCTGGTCCCCAGCCTGGCCTACTCTCCGTCGATCTTAATCCCAGAGCTGCCTTTCTTCCAGGATGGCAGGAGAATGTAATTAAAGTATGCCCCAGCATGAGGTTTCCATACTAGCAAGGTGGGTGAGACCCTGAGGGCCCAGGAAACCCAGGAGGCCCCCCTCCTGACTTACCAACCTGTACCCATCACATCCTCAAAACACAGCTTCTGGAGAAGAGTGGCTGCTAGGGGGCAGGAGGGATTGGGGAGAAAAGGGAGAGCGGGGGCTGTGAACCTGTAGCACCAAGTCTGCAGGGGGCTTTTCCCTGAGTCCTGGAGGCGGCGACAGCAGCTGGCTGGGCTCAGCCTGTTCAGCAGTTGCAGTAAGAAAGTGGGTGAAGGTGACAGCAAGTGCTTGGCTCTTCAGGTAGATGCTACGTGACTCCTGGCACGTTGAGTCTGTGTGTTTCCCGGGCGACCAGCTGAGCCAGGGACTAGGAGAGGACAGGAGTGTGACAGGAATGCGAGGGAGGGAGGCAGTGCTGTTTCTGACTGGCCCCACATGCCGCTACCGTATTCCACCAGCACCCTCCCGCCTGCGCAGCATTGCCCCCTGCCAGGCGGGGGCACTGTATTTCCCTAGCTGCCCTGCCAGTTTCTCCTTGCTCTCTGGGTAGGAGTCCCTGCTGATAGGCCTAGGCCACTCTGTCCAAGAACACTGCCCCCCGCCCCCCACATTATATACTGGTGGCAAGAGGTGGCCAAAGCCTAGGCAGGCAGGCTGGTGTGAGGGCAGGGCAGGACCAAGCCCTTGCCCAGGCATGCTAAGGTGCTGGCAGCAATGAACTGAGAAGGGTCTAGGTTAGAGGACTCCAGGATCCCATTTTCTCCAGGGCAGCACCTGGCCCAGGCAGGCTGCAAGCTGCCCTCCCTCGGTAGGCAGATACAGATGAGGCAGTCTGGTCTTTCTTAGTTCAAGGGGCTGAGGGACTGTGTCCTATGGAGTCTGAACCCTGATGATACTCTAGGCTGGTGGGGTGATCAAGGGAGGGAATGGGATCTTCCTGGGTCTGTGCTTGTCCAAGGCTGAAGCAGTGGAGTAGGAACACTTTGTCCTGTTGGACCCCCCACCCTCATCAACCCTAAGCAATCTCTTTTCTGGAGATGCATGACCAGGAAAGTACCAGGCTAGGGACTATCAAACTCTGAGGGCAGATCTGAGAGGCAGAGGACCCCAAGCACCCAGAGAAAACTTTTAAGAGTCAGAGGAAATACTCCTTCTCGGGGCAGTGTTCCAGCCGGAGCCCGGCTAACACAGGGACACTCTACTTTCTTCTTGATGTTGTCCAGCAGGTACTGTGTGGAGCTGACAAGTCCACACTGTGAATCTGACTTCAACCTTTGCATGAGTGATGGCACTTGGTGCTGGCCACTGCACAGTGCTAAAGTAAGCTTTGTGACTGGCTTCTCCCTGAGCAGGACCAGGGACAGCCAAACTATATACTCCCAGAAAACTCTGGTTTTGACCTGGGCAGGCGGCTGTACCCTGAGTAGGGGTGAGCTGCCATGAGGGTCAGGGGTTCCTGGCAATCAGGTTTCTTGGATGCAGGGTGGCCCCCAGTGGGTGGGGACTGAGTTGTGAGGCTGCAGGGTGTGGAGTGACTAGGGTGGACCATGGTTGGAGGTGGCCTGTGGGAAGCTGGGGCAGCAGGAGCCAAGCAGCCGGGCTGAGCTGGCAGCTGATGAAGGCCGAAGAGCAGCTCTCAGTGCATGGCTGGCTGGTCCAACACCAAAACTTTCAAAGCATTTGCCTTTCTGGCAGGGCCTGGAGCAGGGCTGTGGCTGGGCCGGGAGAGGCCTCAGTGCGCAGGGGAATAGAAGCCCCAGATCTGCATCCAGAGGCGATTTTCCCAGGCTCCTTCCTCCCACACTGTGGCTCCCTCCCTGGGTTCTGGAGCTGAATCAGGCCCTTCCAGCCAAGTCCTCATGGCTGCACGACTCAGCCCTGAGCTGGGCTGCTCCTGTGTGGGGAGGCAAAAACCAGGGCAGAACCTAGGACAAAGGCTCACTAGGGGCAGCCCAAGTCCCCTCCCACCAAGGATGGCTCCCAGTCTACCAGCTGTCAGAAAGGGCCACTGAGCTAGGAGGCCTGAACTGCCCAAACTTCTATTTGAGCCTTCCTTTCCTGGTCTGGTCTAATCCAACTCCGGAGAGGCTTCAGGAAATGGGGAAGACAGAGCAAAACGGCAAGTAGGGGCAAACCACACTAGAACTGGTGACTGTACTGGGTAGTGTGGGAGGAGTCGGTGTCTCTCCCTTGGCCCAGCCCAACTCCCCTCTGCCTGTGGATTCAGCCTCCTCCGCAACTCAACCTTTAGCTAGACCTGCTGACAGGAACAAAACAGACTGGTTTGAGTTTCACCTCTTTTCATTTCCTTTGCCCTCCCCCTGAAAGTTGTTTTAATGAGCAGTGAGATGGCTAAAAGGGCTGGGTGTGGTGGCTCACATCTGTAATCCCAGCACTTTGGGAGGCCAAGGTGGGAGGATCGCCTAAGCCCAGGAGTTTGAGACCAGCCTGGGCAATACAGTGAGGCCCCATCTCTACAAAAAACCAAAAAAGTTAGCTGGGTATGGTGGTGCGTGCCCATGGTCCCAGCTGCTCTGGAGGCTAAGGTGGGAGGATTGCTTGAGCCCAGGAGTCAAGGCTGAGGTTGAGTTGTGGTTGCACCACCGCACTCCAGCCTGGGCGACAGAGTGAGACCATGTCTCTTAAAACGAAAATAATAATGGCTAAAAGGCAATCAGGGAGTAAAGCACCTGGAGAATTAAATGGTCTTTCTCCAGTGGAACCTTAGCACCTGGGCTTGGCTGCCCAAGGAGCCAGGGGCCACAGCACGAAGGGCAGAGCTCCGGCTCCAGCAGCACCCAGGCCTCACCTCCTGCCTGTCTCCTCTCAGGGTCCTGGAGTATCCAGATGGAGAGGGGCAATGCCCTGGTGGTGCTGCGCAGCCTGCTCTGGCCAGGCCTCACCTTCTACCATGCTCCCCGCACCAAGCACTATGGCTACATCTACGTGGGCACTGGTGAGAAGAACATGGACTTGCCTTTCATGCTATAGAATGGAAGCCAGCCTGGATTTTTAACAACAGTCTAAACATGATTTTCTTAAGCTTCAGTGAACTTGGCCCGCCTGTTCTGTCTTACCTTCTTATCTCCACCTCCATCTGGTTCCAGGTTCTGAAAGGCCCACTGAGCCAGGGAGCTCATCTCTACACCAAGTGGCAGAGGGTTGGAATGTGCTAATGAAAGAGATACTAGAAAATGATGGGTGAAATGGCTGTGGGAAGTGACCACCAGGGCCCCTTTGAGAAAGGCAGTTTCTTGGATTCACACGAGAGCGGCAAGTGTGTCAGGTAGCCCACCTTGGCTCCTTGCAGCTCTCCCAGAGTAAGGAGCTCACAGCTGTCATGAAGAGGATGGGACCTGTTTGGCCCATGAATTCCTTTCAATTGACTCATTGGCCCCATCACAAGAGATCAGTGACTCAACACTCTGCACCGAACTGGAAATGTGCCCAGAACCCCCTGCACTTCCCAGGCAGTGAGCACACACCCAGTGGGTAAGCCCACGAGCCCAAACTCAATGTTTATGACATTGTATTGGGAAAAACTCCTGTCCCCAGCACTGAGCATGGCCCAAGCCCCACAGCACCTGGCAAGGGACCCAACTGCCCTGCCTGCCTTTAGCTCCCAGCATTGCTACTGCGCAGGCCAAGGGTACTGAAGTTAGTCCCACTGTCCCCTGTCCATCCATGTCGAAGGGGCCAGGCCATCATGGTCTGGAGTATAGTTGCGGCCGAGGGCTTATGAGTGTGCCTCTTACTCCCCAGCACAGGTGCAGGAGGAACTCTGGAAGCCCTGCTCTCTGTCAGTGATACAGCTTCCAAGGTGTTCTTGAGTAGCAGACATTGTCCCTCAGGAGGGGTGACCCCACGGGCATGCACACCTTGTTCCAGCGGGGGCCTTTCTTGTAGATGGGCTTGACGGAGCCAGGAGCCCAGCGCGTCAGGTACCTGTGGAGGGAGAACAAAGAGCCTGTGAGGGCTGGGGCCCAAGCTGGAATTGGGAGTATGGAGCACTGCCTCCTCAGGCCAGGCCATGATTGGGCAAGCAAATCCTTTCACCAGTTTCCCTTTCCTGAAGTGCAGGGATTTTCCTGGGAGTAACTGCTGAGCGTCCTCTAAACAGATGGGCTGGGCTCTTGCTGCCGCAAGCCTGTGTGGCCAGGGTCAGGCAGCCCAGGGCCACAAGCTCCCTTGATCTTTTTTTTTTTTTTTTGAGACAGAGCCTTGCTCTGTCACCAGGCTGGAGTGCAGTGGCGTGATCTTGGCTCACTGCAACCTCCACTTCCCGGGTTCAAGCCATTCTCCTGCCTCAATCTCCTGAGTAGCTGGAATTACAGGTGCCCACCACCACACCCAGCTAATTTTGTATTTTTAGTAGAGATGGGGTTTTGCCATGTAGGCCAGGATGCTGTCGATCTCCTGACCTCGTGATCAGCCTGCCTCGGCCTCCCAACGTGCTGGGATTACAGGTGTGAGCTACCGCGCCCGGCCCCCTTGATCTTTATAACTGTCAATGCTGGTGTGTGTTTGCTGAGGAAAAGGTGTAAAAGAGGCTGCCTGAAGAGCAGATCATTCCTCTCTGGCCTCAACCATGGGGTGAGAAGAGCTGATGTAAGGGCCTGGAGAAACCCACTACTCTTCTCCATTTGGCTCACTCAGCTACCCCAGCCTTCAGGGAACTCCCCAGGGTACCATAACCGGTGTAAGACCCCTGCCCCTCACCCAACCTGTGATGAGAATCAAGGGGTAAGGGCCCGTGGGTGTGGCTCTAGCCTAGGAAGGTTCCTGTAAGTAGGAGGGGGGTGGGGAAAGATGGCTGCAGCCCATGGACCTTTGGCCTCCTTTGGGGATGATCAGGGCCCTGATAGTTCCCAGAAAAGTGGCTCATGCCGGCTGGGATTGGGTTTTACTCTGTCCAGAATAAAACTTGGATCCTGTCCAGAAAGGCCCATCCTTCATTCTGAAAGCTCAGCCATGACAAACGCCAGGAATCCTCCCTTGCCTCCATTCTAGGTTGGGGCTCAACCCAGTTGTCTCTAGAGACCGTCAAAGAAAAGGTTTTTTTATTAAAAAAATCAATAACCTTAGCTAAAAACTCTTAGATAAAAGAAGTGAAAAAATGATTGCTGATTTATGCAGTTCAACTGAGCTCTGCTGGACCTTGCCAGCCCTGTGTTGAGGGGAAGCTGCGGGAGGTGCTGACCTGCACTCCAAGTGTGTGCTGGGCAGGGAGGGGAGGGCCTTCCGTGTATCTCCCGGAACTGTCACTGCCCTGGCCAGGGTGATGACCGTGAAGGAGGCTAGCTACAGGGACTGCTTTTTTTTTTTCTTGAGACAAAGTCTCGCTCTGTCGCCCAAGCTGGAGTGCAGCGGCGTGATCTCGGCTCACTGCAACTTCCGCCTCCTGGGTTTAAGCGATTCCCCTGCCTCAGCCTCCGGAGTAGCTTGGATTACAGGCGCCCGCCACAACGCCTGGCTAATTTTTGTATTTTTAGTAGAGACGTGGTTTCACCTTGTTGGCCAGGCTGGTCTTGAACTCCTGACCTCAAGTGATGCACCCGCCTTGGCCTCCCAAAGTGCTGGGATTACAGGTGTGAGGAGACTGCTTTTTCTATGGTTGGTGGTGCTGGGTGATGGAAGAGTAAGGTAAAGGGAGGGCACCAGGGATGGCCCCTTTGCTGGCCTCTCCCAGGCTTCAGAGGGGTACATGAAGAGATGGGGTATGGGAGCAGGCTCCCCAAAAGGGGTGCTCATTGAGATTTAGGGATGCAGAGGATAAGCTGAAAAGGCTCTCCAGAGCTACTGCCCTAAAGCTGTTCTTTCTCCCGTGCCTTGGAGAGGCAAGCTGGGCTTTAGCTGGCCTTGGGTCTGATGCCTGTGCCACATGGAGCAGCCAGCCGGCAGGGGGTGGGCTGGATGGCCTCCAGCTAGCTCTTTGGGAACACCTCAACTCTAGCAAGAACCAAGTCTCTTTCCTAAACCAGCCCCTTCCTACCTCTCCTGAAGGGGTAGCAGGAGGAGGGACAAAGTATGGCTCCACCAGGCCCCAGCAGAGCCTGGGCCCATGCATGGCAGCATTAAATGAGACTCCCCTGCAAGGGAATCCATTTCCTTCGTAGCCTGAACTCCCCCTCCCGCTCAGGGTGGCCTTTTGCAACCAACAAGCCCCTACACATCATCAATCCTGTGTCACGTTAAAGGATGCCGGATGTATGGGAGGGTGCCTGGCCTAGCTTCAAAGGCCTGAGGCAGGATGGATTGTGTCCTCAGGCCTGCTGCTGTCTCTTAAAAAGCCAGAGGGGGTGGGCTCAACCCCCAAATGGTCCATAGCACAGTTAGGAGACATAGGAAGAGGTTAGCATGTCCTGCTCTCCAAGAGCTGCTGGCAGATGGCTGAGCTAGCAATGTGGGGGGTGCAGGTAGAGATGGGCACACAGCCAGGGTGCTGGCATGGTGTTGGTAAAGGTCCAGCTCTGACTTAGCCTCCAGGGACAGAGAGGCAGGGTACCAGGAAGAAGCACTGCATTCCCACATCCCACAACCCCTGCAGCCCCTTACCCTCCATGCCTGCGTTCTGGTGGGAATCAGCCTAGGAGATTTGCTGGGGGCTGAGGCGTTTGCTTTGTGTCAGTCATCTTTGATACCTTACAGAGAGCAATTCCATTAAAAAAAGGACAAACAGGCTAGGCGCGGTGGCTCAAGCCTGTAATCCCAGCACTTTGGGAGGCCAAGACGGGCAGATCACGAGGTCAGGAGATCGAGACCATCCTGGCTAATACGGTGAAACCCCGTCTCTACTAAAAAGTACAAAAAACTAGCCGGGCGAGGTGGCGGGCGCCTGTAGTCCCAGCTACTTGGGAGGCTGAGGCAGTAGAATGGCGTAAACCCGGGAGGCGGAGCTTGCAGTGAGCTGAGATCTGGCCACTGCACTCCAGCCTGGGCGACAGAGCGAGACTCCGTCTCAAAAAAAAAAAAAAAAAAAAAAAAAAAAAAGGACAAACACTGCAATTACTTTTGCACCCACCTAATATGTTCCTCACTCCAGTCTGGGAACCACCAGCTGGACAGGAGGAAAGGGCCATTCGCAGGGGAGAAGAACCCCCTCAAATCAATTCTACAGACCTGGCTCTATTCTCAACAAGAGGATACTAGAGATCTAAGACTATGTAAGCGTGCTGATGCCAGAGAGGAGGGAAGAAGGGAACTTGCAATGGGACAGCTGCTTGCATGTCAGACAAGAATCTGCCCCCACTCTACAGGGTCCTGCTTAGACTAAAAGGCAGACAGAGTGATTCCAGGGGCTGGGGGCCATCCTCTCCTTCTCTATATGAACTCAGGGCCTCCTAGGCTGCCACATGGTGCTGTGTAGGTTGTTAACTGTACAACTCTGGGGAGCACTATTTGTGACCTAGTCCACATGGATATTACCCTGAAGTTGTCCAGTGTGCGACCTGCACAGCTTTATTCAGTGGCACTAACCCAGAAGGCCCTCCCATTTCTAAGGCCTTCTGTCCTCTAATAACCCCAGCACTGGAGAGAGCTGGGATACTGAAAGTTTGTAGTAGTACTAACATCCCCATAGCAACCCAGTGTGATGTCATAAATGGGGGATTAGCACATTCTAATGCCCAATCAGCAGGCCTTTACCCTCCTTGCCCCTTTGCTAAGGGCGCTACAGGGGAGGAAAGAGGCTGAGGCAAAAGAAGAAGCAGAGGAAAGAGGCTGAGGCAAAGAAGGCAACAGAAGAAGCAAAGACTGCAGCAGGGGTGGACTGATGGGGGTGGATGCTCAAACTGGCAGGGAATGGAACAGACAGCCAAGGTGCATAGCTTTCCTGAGCTGTGGGATGATTTCCGGCAAGTAGCTTCCCCAGTAGAAGCCAGTGAGGGCTAAGGGCCTGCAGAACGCTCAGGTTGTTCACACCCAGGCTTGCTTACCGGTTGAGTTGAGGTTTGCTTTTCGGAACAACTCCTTCAGGAAGCCGAGGCCTGTGATTTGGTAATAGACCTGAGTGGGGGGAAGATGGGATAGTCTTTGCAGCTCCCTCTGCAGCTCTGAGGGGGCCAGAGGGAAAGCCCAAGGGAGTGGGGAGGTTGGCATTGGATGGGGAGTATAATTAACACTCTGGATATCCTCTTTTCTTCCAGGAGGGGCTGAAACATGGGGCAGCCGGGTAGGGAGAGAGCGCCTGCGGCCCTCTGCCCCTCTTGGTCCCCAGGACCTTCTACCTGCTCGGTGGGCCATCTTCACACACTCCTCAATCTTGCGGTGTTCTTCCTGGCATAGGCCTGTGATCTTTCGTGGCAGCATGCCTCCATGAGGCCGGATGAACTGGCTAAGCAGCAGAACATCCTAGTGGAAACCGAAAATAGGGGATGAGGGTCAGCTGGGCTTGCTTTTGATGCTGGGAAGCTAGGGCTTCATGGTCTATAGGGGAGGCTGATGTCTCCTGGGAACCTGGCTGAGATCACTTCCTCCACACAGAGCTTTGCACACTGGTCTGCTACCTTCACGCAACAAAAGTTAATCCCAACTTAGTAAGATTTTCTGTACCCCATTACCAACCCCAAAAGCTCCCAGCTTCTCTATGAGTTTTTTTTTTTTAGGCAAGGGCTCACTCTGTTGCCCAGGCTGGAGTACAGTGGTGTAATCTTGGGTCACTGCAATCTCTGCCTCCCAATCTCTTGCTCAAGTGGTACTCCCACCTCAGCCTCCTGAGGAGCTGGGACTACAGGTGCGTGCCACCACGCCTGGCTAATTTTTGTAGAGATGGGGTCTCCCTATGTTGCCCAGGCTGGTCTCGAACTTCTGGGCTCAAACAATCTGCCCGCCTCGGCCTCCCAGAGTTCTGGGATTGCACCCCTACACCTAGCCTCGTGAGATCTTCTGATAGACTAGGTTAGAGAACAGAAACTTTTCAAGAAGTGTCACCAATCTTTTATGAACCTGAAGCATCTTTCTTGGATAAAATGTCTGCTCAGGTGGGGTTAGGAGGCTGCCATATGTTTCCACACAAGAGGAAAACTTGTAACATTTTAGACCTTAAGGTCTATATACCACAAGCCAGAGTATATGCAAACAGCCCCTCCACCTCTTGCCGTTCCCTCTGAAGTGCTAGGAAGGCATAAAAGCCAAGGAGGATGGAACCAGGGTTGTGAAGTTTAATCTCACATGATCTAGGCCCCCTGTAACCAGATCTGAATGGATTCTTGGGCTTCCTTCAGACCATCACGTGCTCACCAGGCTGCTTGGATCTGTCAAAGGAACAGATACACAGAGCCAGAATCAAGAAAAGGGACCACCTCCCTGCCAGGTCTAAAAGGTTATGATTCCCAGACTGCTTGAGCTCAGGAGTTCGAGACCAGCCTGAGCAACATAGCAAGACCCCATTCTCATAGAATGGCTTAAGGGGTTAAAGAAAACTCACCATTCCCCTCCCTGCAAGTGCCTGGCATGCCAATCTTAGCAGTCAAGTTCCACAAACCAACTTGCTGCCCTGGCAGGCGCCTTGCTGCATAACTGCAGATTTGTTTTAATCACTGGACAGTTCCTGAGGGACCTAGGCCTTCAATTCCCACCCCTGTACTTTTCAGAATCTGATGAAAAGAATTTGGATTGGATTAATCCAGGGCTAATCAACTGGGTTGGAGGCCCCAGCCATCCACCGTAGGCTGCCAAGCAAGCTAACAGCTTTGTGCAGCTCAGGCTAATGGTGCTCTGAGTGGAAAGGGGTAAAAGGAAAAACAACTTTAGCCTTTACCTCAGACGGGATTCGATTTCTTCTGCTGGAGACAGCCAAGTATGTTTCCTGGAAAAAGCTGGTAGGAAGAATGCCCTACGGTGGCTGGGCGGGTGTGGGGTTTGCTTTCCTATCAGCAGCTGAGGTTCCAAGGATGCCCACAACCCCACTAACTTCCGCATGGTGAGCAGCTGGAAACATTGCCCCTTGCCTGTGTGCTTGCTTTCTGTTACTCCAGGCGGCCATCAGGAGAAGGGCCCCAGGACAGAAAGAACCCCCCCATCCCTCAGGGTGGCCTCAAGCCAAGGCTTCCAGCCCACGAGATTAGTTGGGTCACTCTGTTCAGATCCCACTGGCATGTGGCTTCTCCTGCTCTTATCACCTGACCAGGATCTCTGCCTTTAGTCATCCTATTCCACAAAGGGGCATAGGGACAACTTACAGGTCAAACTGGCCCAGAGCCTGAATCACCTGAAACCCAAAAATAGGGTGCTTCATGTTACCAGTGAGAGCTCTGAAGAACAAGTAAGGATTTCTCCAGGGCTGTGTCCTTAGTCCCACGCCCTCCCCATCTCTGGGGAGGAGGTAGTGTAGTCATTAGGAGCACAGGCTCTGCCTGGGCTTTCGTCCCTGGAGTTTGTATCCCAGTTCTGATACCAGCTGGGGGATCTGAGGCAAGTTCACTGGCTTCTCCATGCCTCAAATTTCCTCATCTGTAAAATGAGGATGAAACTAGTACCTACTTCATAGGGTTATTGTGAAAACTAAGTGAACTAAAACAGGTAAGTACTCAGTGCCTGACACAGTATGCACTCAATGTTACCTGTTGTTATTATTCACTACTTTCTTCTTTCCCTGGAAACGACTGCACTAGAAGAGCTTGAGCAATCAGGTATCTTTATAGCTCCAATACAGAACGACAGGGTAATGTGTTCCCAGATCACAGTGAGAACCAAGTCTGTTCAAATACACCTTCATCATAAAAGAGGAGAGCCAAACCCAGATCATGATTCTATCCCACAAGAGGACAACCCCTGTGAACTGAGTTAAGGGCCCTAGTGGTCTGAGGCGCAACCAGACCACAAACTCAATCAGTGGCTCTCAACCCTGGCTGCTCATTAGAGCCACGGGAGAGCACTGAAAAAATGCTCAGGCCCCACCCCCCGAGGCTGATTCTGCACCGTGACCTCAGTCTCCCAGGCTACTGAAGATGGTGATGGGTCTTCTTCAGAGGGAGAGCTGCAGTGAATGAGACTACATCTACGAAGTGGCTTGGGAGGACCTGGTAGAGCCCATGCATCACACTATTTTTTAAAGCTCCCCAGGTGATTCTAATGCGCAGCCAGGGTCGAGAACAACTGGACAAAATGCTCCCATCTCTGGTGGTTCCATGAAATGCAGCAGTAGCTAAAACGGGGGGACACTGCTCCAGTTAACCAGGGAATCTGAGAGCTTCACAACACACAGAACTGAGTGTCTCTGTACCCAGACTCACGTCATAGTTATACTTGTGCTTCAGGTTCCAACGGCAGATGGGGCACTGGCCAGAGGGGTTAGGAGGATTTGGACTGCCCTTGGGAGTCGCTGTGAGACGGCCTTCAATCTAGGAGACAGAGAAGGAGAGCCAGTGTGAGAGACAGGGCCTGCGTGGAGCCACATTATCTTTGCACAAACCCCAAAATGATGGGAATGCTGGTGAAAGTTTACCTTGGGGGTTCTTGTGGGAGTAGCTAAGAGGTTTCTCTGCCTGAACTGTGGTGTTTACTCTGTAGTTGCTGTATGCTAGGCCTTGAGATAGCTACAGGGATGTGGTTTGGTGGCTTACAGGGGTAATGGAAACCATCTGAAAATACCAGTGGCAAGAGGGAGGGAGGGATTTGCTGTATCAATTGAATGCTACCTTTCCTTCCTCAAAAGAAAAAACAAAGGCACCAGAACACTATACTTTTTTCCCTCCCTGGCTTTTGGGGGAAAGTTATACATGCACATGGTAAAAAGTTTCAAGTGGCACAGGGATATAGAGTCCAAAGAAAGCATCCCTTCCATCCCACATGTCCTCCTAGGGGGAAACTGCAGTTCCCAGCTTTATCTTACAGAGCTAAGGCTATGCCAGTGGGTCTCAACCAGAGGTGATTTTGCTTCCCAGGGGACATCTGGCAATGTCTGGAGACATTTTTGATTGTCATGTCCGGGGGAGGGAGTGCTACTGGCATCTAGCAGGGATGTTCTAACCATCCTCCACTGCAGAGGACAGCCCTCACAACCAGGAATTACTCAGCCCCAAATGCCAGGAATAGCAAGGCTGAAAAAACCCGGGTTGTGCCATATAAGCAGATATGCAGGCACTCCTTCTCTCTTACAAAAGAAAGGAAAACCGGCCGGGCGCGGTGGCTCAAGCCTGTAATCCCAGCACTTTGGGAGGCCGAGGCGGGTGGATCACGAGGTCAGGAGATCGAGACTATCCTGGCTAACATGGTGAAACCCCGTCTCTACTAAAAATACAAAAAACTAGCCGGGCGTGGTGGTGGGTGCCTGTAGTCTCAGCTACTTGGGAGGCTGAGGCGGGAGAATGGCGTGAACCCGGGAGGCGGGGCTTGCAGTAAGCCGAGATCACGCCACTGCACTCCAGCCTGGGAGACACAGCGAGACTCCGTCTCAAAAAAAAAAACAAAAAAAAAAAAACAAAAGAAAGGAAAACCTAACACGATACAGATGGGAGGATACATTTCCCTGTCATGCTCCTTGCTTTTATCATTTTGGATGCCACCTTTAAACCATGCTGAGGCCAAGTGTGAAATGACCTCCCTATCGCTGCTGTATCCTGTGATACAGTTTTGGAATTACTAAGCGCAATAAACCAACGATCTGGGAATTAGCTCCAGTTGCAAGAGGGGAGTTTAGAGAGCCTTGATGACTGAGGCCATGGGTTATGAGAGTGAGGCTGGGATGGGTCTGAGAGGCTATGGGAGGGAAGCAACACTGTCTCTTGGGGGAGAAGTGGCACAGGGGAAAGGGGCTGGAAGTACTACTTGGCCGTGCAGGGCACAGCTACCCTCCTTCTGCCACGGCAATCACAACTATGCCAGAAACTGAGATGTTACAGAAAATTCCCAAGTACATGGTAGGCCTTGGGAGGCGGGTTGCAGTGGGTCAGGGGTTCGGCGGTGGGGAGAATTAACATTTATTGACTCCCCATTATATGTGTAGCTCAGTGCTAAGAATGGTTCACATATATTAGTTCACTTAACCTCCAGAATCTAGTGAGGTAGGTGTCTGATCTTATTTCATAGGGGAGAGAATAATACCCAGTCAGCCATGGCCATGCTGCTAAAGGCATGGATGGGCTCTTCCCTCCCCTGAGGGCTCTCATAGGCCACAATGCCTCCACATCTATTCTACAAACAGCAGACTCATGACCCACATGAAAAACGCTCTTTATACTCAAAAGTCAGATGTATTTCTTTCCTCCAGTGTGGAGTTTATAGAGTGAATGCTTGTTTTGGCTTTGAATCAAGAAGCCTAAAAGGTACCCTAAGGGGACTGGGGCGGTCCCCTAAAAAGAACTGTTTTGAGGCTAAGTAGTGGAAAGGCAGAGGGAGCATTCTAGGGGGAAACCTAATGGACTTGTCCTGGGAATAAGACTGCCTTGGGAAGGACTGAGCTTGGCTGGCTACCTAAAGGGTTAAATCTCTGGTTGACATGGAAGTTACAGAGGCCTCTGGGAGCTCTGTGGAGTCGCTGAGGATTTCTTGGAGGCATAGAAGGCCATGTGAAAACAACGTTGTTGTCTTTTAAGGATTATAGGATAATCTAGGCCCCATGACTCCCCAAGGAAGGGAGGTGGGATGGGCCCAGGGAACGAAAGAGGGGAGTGCGTAGATGAAGAATTGTTCCAACTTTCTTACCAACAGACAAGCCAGGGCGCCAGCTAGTAAGGCCAGGGCCGGGAGAATGTCACTTTTTAAATGCATCATTTAAGGAGTAGTTTAGTCATTCTAGGCAGAAAAGAAAGGAACTGAGGTCCAGGCTCTTGGCTCTGGGTCAACTTACTTTGGCTCTCTAGGCGTGCAATAATGCCTTAGTTTCCCCATCGGGAAACTGATTCATCACCCGCCAAAGAGCTTATCAGCAAAGGCCTCTGAGACCTTGCTATACAAAAGGCCACTTTAATCAAAGAGCAGATACCTCAGCCCAGGCATAGCAACTGTTCCTGATTAACCACACTATAGCGCACAGCTTGAAAAATAGTAGACTGTGGGATTTATGGTCACTGAGAGAGCTGATCCTGGAGCTGGGCGTCCAGTTTGGGCCCCTCCCTCCCTCAGAGGAGCGGCCAGGCAGCTGCAAGTGTTAAAGAGGTTATACATGGCCAACTCAATGATACTTACTATAGTTGTCTTCCCTTCTTGGATCTCCACCACTACAGAGATAAAGGGGGAAAAATTAGGTCAGCCATTTAATAAGGAACAGAGAGTTTCAAATAACAGCTCAAATTCTACACATTTGGAAAAAAGCAGCCTTCCGTCTGTACTCTCTCATGGTCTCCACCTGGAACAGAAAGCACGCAGGGTTCACCCCACTAGTGCCAAGGCTCTATGCCCTTGAGGCGGGGTGGGGGCAAGCCCAGGATGCCCAGGTAGCATCACCTCTCTGGTATGGGATTAAGGAGTTCCACACTGTTTTTGCCTTTCTATGCAAAGATTTATCTTGGTTCTATCCAAAGGAATTGGTCAGATCCTGTCCTACAGTGGCTAGCAATAAAAGAGGGTGGGGTAGTGGTATGTAAAAGACCTTCAAAAGTACCCAAGCGGTGTGTGTTCCTGCACAAAGAGAATCAGATAAGAATGGTTTCTGCTTTGAAGAATTAACAATGTAAGATACAGCACTGAACTAACACTATTCCAGTGGCACCCAGTGAATGAGCAAAAAGGCAAGTTCACTCCTAGAACACATCGTGAGGGTCGTGAGTGAAATCCTCTCCTCCCTGCAGGGTTGCATTTTATCATCTATACTGGAGAGGGTTGATGGACAGGTAGGAATAAGGAGCATGAAGATACTGGGTCCAAGAAGAATTTCAAGTATTGCCATTCCAAACGGAGAGGGATGCCCTCCATGCTTTGCCTATTTAGGAGAGGCAGTCAGAAGAGAACCTGAAGGCAAGACAACCAGTTGCACACATCTGTCAGGCTAAATACATTTCCTATCTTACTACCTTACCTAACCAAGATGCAGAATGACAACTTCAACCATCATTCAAAGAAGAACCGAGCCAATAGCCCACATTTCGGCTAATATAATCAGATAGTTCTTGGAGATACTCCCTTGCTGACAGTTTCTTTAGAAAGACAGAAGCCAGACTGGGTACAGTGGCTCATGCCTGTAATCCCAGCACTTTGGGAGGCTGAGGTGGGAAGAAATACTTGAGCTCAGGAGTTAAGAGACCAGCCTGCGCAACGTGGCAAAATCCTACAAAAATTACTAAAATTAGCCAGGCATGGTGGCATGCACTTGTAATCCCAGCTACTTGGGAAGGTGATGTGGGAAGACTGCTTGAGCCCAGGAGGTTGAGGCTGCAGTGAGCCATGATCATGCCACTGCATTCCGGCCTGAGGGACAGAGCGAGACCCCATCTCGAACACACACACACCAATAAAAAGAGAAGGGACCATCTAAGGCAAAAGGCAGTTGTAACCCAACCAGAGGTCCATGGCAGCATCTGTGATCACTGAGCTCTGTGACCAACACCTAATTGGACACAGACTGCTTGGAATTGTCCCTTATTTGTCTTCTGGGCAACCCATTCATACTCACTGCTCCAAAACAACCAACCTGACAGCCTCTCAGTGTCCAACGCCAGACATACAAAGGAATAACAATGACTAGAAAAGCCCTGAGGCTTTCTCTAGAGAACACTGTAGTTATTAATCAATTCAAAGACAACCTAGGTTTTTCAATGTAAAAGAAAATGCGTCACCCCACACACAGATCTACTTGTACGGAACACAGACCAACCCAAGAATGGGATTTGGGTGAGACTCAACATGGTCCTCAGTCTGGAAGCCAGCACAGCTGCAGAGGGAAGGTCACTGCAATACGTCAGTCTGCAGAATCAACCTACAAATGGAGGATGGGGAGAAATGAAGGGAGGTAGGAGGACGGCACATCCCCAGTCCAGTAAGGGTTCCCGGCACCCTGCAACTCTGCAAATTTGCAAAAACCAAGTTGAGAGACAACCTAATCTGAGCAACAAGTAGGGGGGAAAGTTTCCAAGAATCCCCAAAGGAAACAAAAGGAGAGACACGTTCTGGTACCACTGGAGTCAGCAGAAGAACAATGCCCTGAAACACAAGTGGATAAACATGTGGTTCCCTGCTTGGTGGAGGCACTTGGGTCCTAACCATGAGGTAAACAAGTCTAACAAAACACACATCACTCCCGGCAAAGTACCAAACCCTGAAGTCATCCCACTGGCCCCTGGAAAACAGATCAAAGCCCATGGCAAGCTCCACTGTTCACAAGCTCCCCCTCCACACAGCAACCCTGAGCCAGCGAATCATCTTACTAGAAGCCAGTGGGTAAAACAATAGGCAGATGCTTATCTAACAGAGACAATTTGTCAAACCAGAAGGAATGACCTGAGAACTCACGTTGAACTGACATCGATCAGGGTGGTGTCTTAGTGCAGGGGGAGAAGGCCCTGTTGGAGCCTAGGGAGGCCCTTAGTAGATTTTAAGCCTCTGGAAAGAGGAGATAGGAATCAAAATAGTATTGATTTACAGCGTGCATACAAAAATGTGTCAAAACCAAACAAAACCTGAGATCCATTTTGTTCCTGGCTGCCTCCCTATTCAAGAGAAGTGGGGGTGGCTAAGAAAAGCTGGACTGAGAGATTTAGGCACTAACAGAAAACTTGCTTAGAAAAAGATGGAATCACCCTTGTGTTCTGAGATATGGCAGTATCTAGTAAGCTAAGCGAAGAGATGAAGCAGTTTTCTAAACTAGAACTAAGGGCCAAAATCTTTCCAGATAAGCACTTCTCATACACATGAAATAATCTGTCCCAAATGAGGCAACACATTTGCTGGGCACTTGTGGACTGTACAGCTTCGTTCTACCTACTGTGGAGAGTTACAGTAGAATAGGGTCCGCAGTCTTTGCCCTAGAGGAGGAAAAGAACTAAACTCTGTATGGGAACTTGACTGTAATAAAGTCCATGCCTCGTAAAAAGGTCCTTTGAGTACTTCAGTAAATACTTGCCTAGGATGGAGTCCAAGATAACTGAATTATAATAGTCTGGAACAAATGGCATTGTGGTGAGATTGCAGTGAATGCAAAAGGAGGAGAGGGGGTGACACCTATAGTCTCAGCTACTCAGGAGGATCACCCGAGCTAAGGAGTTAGAGGCCAGCCTGGGCAACACAGCAAGACTCTGTCTCTTAAACAACAACAACAAACATGGAAAATGCAAAAAACCTTGATGGCCACATGAACAGACATAGTGAACTGCAACCATGTAAAGACCCAACTGCTTAGTAAAACAGGAAGTGAAAAAGGATGAGGAGTGCAGGGCACTGCTGAAGTGCCCAGAGACCAAGGTCCCTCTTGGAGAGGATCTGTGGAAACCAGGGCCCAAGCAGAGTAGGAAAGACTGGAGTAACTGATGGCTGGGCAGTGGCCCTAATAGTCTTATGTAGGGTCAGGGAGAGGAGTACCATGTTTGGGTTGTGTGCTTGCATTTCTGGCCACTGACCACCTTCGCAAACACCTTCCTGCCTCAAGCCCTGCTTCCTCCAGTTCATCTTTAATTCTACCATTGAAGTTTCTGGTTCCCTCATCACCTCCCTTTCTTTCCCTTGGACCCCTCAAGGAACGTTCCTCTGACCTATGCTTCAGAATGAGGAGTTAGCAGGTTACTCTGGACTATGTCCCCTGAATTCTTTAAAGACGTCAACTCACTCCTCTCTCAAAGCTTTTATATGGGACTGCCCAACCTACCAGGCATATCCTTGTCTGAAATGTTAGGTCTTCCAGAAGGCCTTCTTAACTGACTGAAAGAGATGAAGCAAATTCCCTTTGGCCTTTGCTCAATTCAATATACCCTTCTCTAAGTGGCTGATAGATCATGACAATTTATATAATTTTTTTTTTTTTAATACATTTCCTTCACAAGGACTCTGAGAGGGATAAGGGAGGAATGAGATCCAACATAGTCTTTGCTAAATCTGGCAGTGCCAACCATAAAGGCACTAAACGGTCTTTGGCAAGTTAACTGCTAAGAGCTTTCAGGGAAGGAGGGAACAAGGAAGGCCCTGCCATGGAATACCAAGGTGATGTTACTGGTGGAGAGGGAAGAGGGCTGGCTCTACTTCCAATTCCATCACTTATTGGATGCTGGGCAAGCTATTAAACCCCTTGGGACTGCATTTCCTCATTTATAAAAATGAGGACAGTTAATATCCACCTTTAAGGTGTTTTTGAGAAGACTAAATAAATGTATGTGGAAAACCTTGCACAGTATTTGAAGCAGGCACAGAAAGTCACAATTTCTATTTTTGTCCTCCTTCAGTCTTGCTTTTTCCATAATAATCTTTTTTTGGTTTTGTGTATCTCTCTGGTCAAACTTTAAACCAGGCTTTCTCAACAGCAGCAGGACTGCCATTTTGGGCCAGAAGGTTCTTTGTTGTGGGGAACTGACTTGTGGATTATGTTTAGCAGCATCCCTCACCTCTACCCCCCAGATGCCAGTAGTACCAGTTGTGACAACCAAAAATGTCTGCAGACATGGCCAATTGTTCCTGGGGGACAAAATTGCCCCCCCCAGTTGAAAATCACTGCTTTAGACTGAAAGTTTTCATAGACAGGAAAATTGGTGCTCAGTCCTCATAAGCTGACTAAAATCATGTATTATTATCTGATACTTCGAAAAGATGCTTGAATATTTTCAGCAAGAGACCCAGCTTCTTTCCCACAACTTTAAATTCTATGTGTACAATATTGTTTGAGTGTCACATATACCAGCTGAGACTAGTCAAAATTAGCTATATGTACAATACTTTATGCCTTACAAATAATGGATAGAATAGCAAAATAAAATGTTTTCATTTAAAAGCTTTGAAGACACGTGAGTCTTAAGAATATAGAATATGGCAATGCCTTCATGTAGAATCACATTAATTCAACCTAACATTTAGATGAAGGACTTCAGAGACCCATTTGATTTACAGTCCCTCCATTTTTCGTGTTTTTAAAGAGGCAGGGGTTCTCACTGTGTCACCCAGGTTAGACTCCAATTTCTGAGCCCAAGTGATCCTCCCACCTTGGCCTCCCAAAATGCTGGGATTAAAGATATGTACCACTGTACCTGGGTTACAGTCCATCATTTCACAAACTCTCCAACTGAAAAAATTCTTTAAGTCTAATTTCAAATATTTGTTATTAAAACAAAATGATTCCTCTTGCCTTTTTTTCTGGATAGCAAAATCTGCCTCAACTCTGAATTTCAAAAGAATATGCAAATTGTAGCCAATAGTGTTTGACACTTGGTAGACTCCCCCAAAATGGTATGGAAATATGCCTATTTTGCAGCATGGGAACAGATGAGACATCCAAATTCTTTCTATCATCTGCATGATTTCTTTAGTGTCTTTATTAATGGGTCTACTAATGGATAAATTAACCAGGCAGTATCCAGACTTTTTTTTCTAGCAAACACTCCCCTTACGGGCTGAATTCTTCAAACATACCTGCTATTTCCATTTCTTCATCAACTATCTCCTTCAATTCTCCAAACTGGATTCCTTGTTTGCCACTCTATTGAAATTGCTATTTGAAAGCTACAAACAGACCTCCTCTGAGACAAATCCAATGGCCCCTTCATTAGGCTCTTCTTTTTAGACTTTTCTGCTCCCTCTGACAACAATGATCACTCTTTGGCACTGGATACTTCTCAGCTTTCGTTAAAGGATATGCTGCCCAATACTATGCCAGATCCTCAAAAAACCCCACATCTCTTCTTTTGCACATCACTCATCCTTTCCTGCTTCCAGGAGTACACAAAGGAAGGCTATGTCCTAAAAGACCGTTTCACTCTCCGCCAGATTCCATCCTTTTGTGAGCCTGCTCAAGACACATCCTCTTTATGAAAACTTTCAACTGGGTTTGCTGTTTCCAGTAACTGAGTCTCCCTGTACTTCATCACGTAAAAGGCTAACTTGCATTTATTGGAGTGTGCATATACATAATCTCATTAGAACCTAAGCTTTTCAGAAAAAGGGCTGTATTTTCTGTCTCCAGAATTCCTTCACAGCTTGAAGCATAGCACTTGGCATTCAGTAAGCTCTCAGTTGATGCTCGACTCAGGCCGCTTTCCCAGATTAAGATTAATGAAAAGCTGAACTACCATTCTGCATTTGCCTATGTCTCAGCTATTCAATGGCCTTTCCACTTTGGCCTCCCCTTCACAGGGAGACTAGCGGCCCGGGCAGAGAAAGCCGCCATCAGATCACAGCATTTTGAGAAGAGAAAGTGGAAAGGGAGGCTCGGGGGGGGGGGGGAGGGTACGCAGATGGCCTTCCTTCGTGATCCAGAGACTCTTTAATAAAAGAGACTGCGATTCGGAGAATATAGAAGGGAGAATTAACAAGAAAACCGTTTCCGAAACTTTTCTGAACCTTGGGACAGGTTTCTTTTCTGCTCCTGCTAAGTAAGCAGGCTTTCTCTTCGTCCTCCTCGGTCTCGTGAGGATACTCACAAGGGGCAGGAGCTCAAGATAAGGCACCAGGGTCTGGAAGGGGCTTTTAAGCACGCCTGGGGAGCCGGTACCGCCTAAGTTTCAGAATCGCACGAAGGAAAGGGAGGAAGGGGCGCACCGGGGCTGGCGGAAGCAATCTCCGCCGCTCTTCTTAACTTCAGGAGGTTGCTGGTACGCATGACTCACCTTCCCTGAACCCGCGAGCTGGAAGCCGAGACCAGCTGGTCGCTGCCGGGCCCGCTAGGAGCCCACGGAGAAGCCCCCCATAGGCGGACACCAAACCCTTGAAGGCCGCCATCTTGAGAAACCTACCCTGAGCTCTTGTCCATTTCCGCTTCCGGAACGTGGCGCGCGCCGCCGCAGTGGTGGGGCAGGAACGGCGGGGGCGGGGTTGTAGTTCGCTTACTCCTGTCACGAAACTTCTCTCACCTGTCTGCTTTGGGGTAAGAAGAGAGGCTTCTGCGTCAAGCCTACATTTCGTGTTAAGGATCTAGGGGAGGTCTTCTAGCTCCTGTCTGCCAATGCCTGCAAGTCTTCAAGGTTGCATTCGTTTCCTGGAAGCCTTCCTTAGGAAAATCGCACGCAACACTCCTACCTAAGTCTTTAAAGTTTTCTCTTCACTGCGCGTGAGCTGTGGTCTTTCAGCTTCTGTGACTGGGCTAGACCTCTACAGGAGAGGTTGAAATGGTTAGGAACTCTGGCTCTGGAGTATAGGATATCAGGCAGACCATGGATAGAATTGATACCACCTTCTTCCCTGACCACTGCCACACTGATCTTTGATTTGCATGTACTTTGACCTCTCTCTAGCCCCAGGGCCTTGGCACAAGCTGTTTCCTTTGTCTACTCTTTAGTTGTCTAGTTAGCTTCTACTTATTTCTTAGAGCTCGCCTCAAACCTTATTTCCTTATTTGCTTGACTGCCCATTCTCAGCACCAGATGCCTCTCCATCTTAGTGCTTGGGAGAATTTCAGTTTTATGTTTGTTTTGTATGTGTCTTCTCACCAGACTGTAAGCTCCATGAAGTCAGGAACATTGTTTTCTGTTGACTCTCACATCTCCAGCACTTAGTATAGTCCTGACACATAATAAGAGTACAATATATACTTGTTGAATGAATGAGTAGAATCTATTTTATAGGGCCTAGGGGAGGACTAGACCCTGAAAATTAGATGTGATAAAACATAAGTGATCGACTGGGTGTGGTGGCTCTTGCCTGTAATCCTAGCACTTTGGGAGGCTGAGGCGGGTGGATTACCTGAGGTCAGGAGTTCAAGACCAGCCTGACCAGCATGGTGAAACCCCGTCCCTACTAAAAATACAAAAATTAGGTGGGTGTGGTGGTGGGTACCTGTAATCCCAGACACTTGGGAGGCTGAGGCAGGAGAATCGCTTGAACCCAGGAGGTGGAGGTTGCAGTGAGCCAAGATTGCACCATTGTACTCCAGCCTGGGTGACAAGAGTGAAATTCCGTCTCAAAAACAAAACAAAACAAAACAAAAGTGCTCAATAAACATAAGCTAGTTAATAGAGCAGTTATGGAGATGACTCTTTTCACAAGTTGGACTCACTTGTGTTGTAAGGAAGCTTATGGTACCAAAGAGAAAATACAACGGCCCAGTTTTTCCTCTTTTAGATTTGTGGGACATATAGGATGTTCCTCTGGAGCTCCATAGGAAAGGAAAATCATTCACAACTCAGTTCTTCCACTTGGAAGGATAATTTCCACCTTCCGTAATGAGCCTGAAGAGGGATTTTCTAGTTATCCTTCTCTGATTCATAGATGGGAAAAGTCAGGCTTATTAAATGGCATAGGATGTTTTCTGATGAGTGGGAGAGGAGCCCATCATCCAGTTCGGACCATCACCCTAGTAGGCTAAGAGGATGCAGAGCGGCTGCTGTATGGAAAGTTTGAGTGGCATCATCATAGAGAGGGAGAACAGGAGAAATGCAGCATTGGGGTACATTAAAACATCTCATTTAGCAAAGGTAAACCCCGTGAAGGTGAAACTTAAAAGAAAAGTCAATCAAGGTGGCAGAGACTGACACGTGGATTAGAAGTGAAGCCGAGGGTCTTAGTGGGGTGTAGGTCTAGGTGTCCCAGCCAGGATCAAGAAAGCTTTGACTCTTCCTATATCTTCCAAGTTTGTTCTGTGTAGATTACCTTGAGCTTATGGATGTATAGATGACCTCTGTATAGATAACCTTCTGTGTTTGTACTGCATCCCCTGTTTCTTCACCCATTTCCAACTTCCAGGAATCCGGTAGAGACAAAGGCAGCAACAGAGCCTCACCCAGGGCTTGCTTTGGACATAGTGAGCTAAAGCATTTGAATGCCAACCCTCTTCTCATTATCTTATCTTAACTTATCTTAACCAAATTTTATTTTAAAAAACAACTATAACAGGTAACATGTGATCATTGTAGAAAAATGAAACAATAAATAAAGTGAAAAGAAAATAAATGTCATCTAAAATCCAGAGATAAGCGTTGTTTACATTTAGCAAGATGAAATAATACTGTGGATATTCTTTGCCTTATAATATCTTATTTTTCTGAGTCCATTTATGATTAGTCCCTACAATTCTGTGAGACCAGGTTTTGATCAGGAGACTAGCTTTAAAAAACAACAACACATCTTTTAATTAAAGTATTACCCATGAAAGAAAAATACACAGGCTGGGTACAGTGGCTCATGCCTGTAATCCCAGCACTTTGGGAAGCCGAGGAGAATGGATCACTTAAGGTTAGGAGTTTGAGACCAGCCTCGCCAACATGGTGAAACCTCATATCTACTAAAAATACAAAACTTAGCTGGGTGTGGTGATTGGCTCCTGTAATCCCAGTTACTCAGGAGGCTGAGGCAGGAGAATCACCTGAACCCTGGAGGTGGAGGTTGCAGTGAGCCGAGATCATGCCATTGCACTCCAGCCTGGGCAACAGAGTGAGACTCCATCTCAAAAACAAAACAAAACAAAACAAAAAAACCACAAATCATCGGTGTACTGCTTAATGAATTTTCACAAAGGGAACACACTACCCATACTAGAGTGGAGTGGCATGTTCAAGCAGAACATGACTGGCACCCTAGAACATCCCCTTGTGTCCCCTTCCAGACACTACCCCCCAAGGATAATCATTATCCTGACTTTTAGCATGATACGTTACTTTTCCCTGCATGTGACCTTTATATAATATTCCGTTGTGAATATGCCATATTTTTAAAAATTACTTTTTTTTTCTGTTGATAGAATTTAGATACTTTCCACTTCGGACTACTACAAATAGTGCTGTAACATTCTTCTACGTGACTCTTGGTGAACACAAGAACAAACTTCCAGGGGCCGGGCGTGGTGGCTCACGCCTGTAATCCCAGCACTTTGGGAGGCCGAGATGGGCGGATCACGAGGTCAGGAGATTGAGACCATCCTGGCTACCACGGTGAAACCCCGTCTCTACTAAAAATACAAAAAAATTAGCCTGGCGTGGTGGTGGGCGCCCGTAGTCCCAGCTACTTGGGAGGCTGAGGCAGGAGAATGGCGTGAACCCGGGAATGGAACTTGCAGTGAGCTGAGCTTGCGCCACTGCACTCCAGCCTGGGTGACAGAGTGAGACTCTGCCTCAAAAAAAAAAAAAAAAAAAAAAAAAGGAACAAATTTCTCTGGGGTCTGTCTAGCAGTGGAACTGTTAGGTTGCAGGGTATGCCTATGCTCAGCTTTAGTAGAAGATATTGCCTTGACAGTTTTTACAAAAGCCTTTTTAAATTAAATTAAATTTTTTTTGAGACAGAGTCTTGCTCTATCACCCAGGCTGGAGTACAGTGGCATGATCATGGCTCACTGCAGACTGGACTTCTTGGGCACGGGTGATTCTCCCACCTCAGCCTCCTGAGTAGCTGGGACTACAGGCACATGACACTATGCCCGGCTAATTTTCTGTATTTTTTGTAGAGGTGGGGTTTTGCCATGTTGCCCAGGCTTGTCTCGAACTCTTGAGCTCAAGAAATCTGCCTGTCTCAGCCTCCCAAAGTGCTGAGATTACAGGCGCAAGTCACCATGTCTGGCCCAAAGGCCAGGCTAGATACTGCCAAACAATTTTCCATAATGATTGTACCAGTTTACTCTGGTATCAACTGTGTGTGACAGTTCTAATTGCTCCACACCTTGTCAATATTTGATTTCTTTTTTTGTCCTTTTAATCTTGCCATTCTGGTTGGCCTGTAGTAGGCTCTCACTGTGTATTTATTTTACATTTCTCCGATGCTTAATGAAGATGAGAAACTTTTCATATGTTTATAGACCATTTGTTTTTATTTATATTTATTTATTTATTTATTTATTTATTTATTTATTTATTTTTGAGACAGAGTCTCAGTCTGTCCCCTAGGCTGGAGTGCAATGGTGTGATCTTGGCTCACTGTACCCTCCGCCTCCTGGGTTCAAGTGATTCTCCTGCCTCAGCCTCGGGTGCACCCCACCATGCCCAGCTAATTTTTGTATTTTTAGTAGAGACAGAGTCTCACCATGTTGGCCAGGCTGGTATGGATCTCCTGACCTCAGATTATTCACCTGCCTTGGCCTTCCAAAGTGTTGAGATTACAGGCGTGAGCCACCACACCTGGCCAATAAATTTTAAGCATGCAGTTTATATAGCAATATAGGCCATTTAGACATCCTTTTTGTAAAATGTATGTTTAATATTTTGGCTCATGTTCTATTGGGTTGCCTGTGTTTTGCTTTTCTTTTTTCTATTTATTTATTTGTTTATTTATTTAAAGACAGGACTTCCCTGTCACCCAGGCTGTAGTGCAGTGGCATATTCGTGGCTTTCTATAGGCTTGACCTCTCGGGCTCAAGTGATCCTCCAACCTCAGCCTCCTGAGGAGCTGGGACTATAGGCGTACACTATGATACCCAACTATTTGTTTTTTTTTGTTTTTTTTTTTGAGATGGAGTCTAGCTCTGTCACCCAGGCTGGAGTGGGGTGGCATGATCTCGGCTCACTGCAACCTCAGTCTCTTGGGTTCAAGCAATTCTCCTGCCTCGGCCTCCTGAGTAGCTGGGATTACAGGCTCCCACCACCATGCTCAGCTAATTTTTATATTTTTAGTAGAGATGGGGTTTCACCATCATGGCCTGGCTGGTCTCAAACTCCTGACCTCTGGTGATCTGCCTACCTCGGCCTCCCAAAGTGCTAGGATTATAGGCATGAGCCACCGTGCCCAGTTTGATACCCAGCTTGTTTTTAATTTTTTTTTTATGGAGACAGGGTCTCACTATGTTGCCCAGGCTGGTCTCAAACTCCTCCCCTCAAGTGATCTGCCTCAACTTCCCAAAGTGCTGGGATTACAGGCAAGAGCTACAGCT